GGCTGAAAAGTGGTTGGCTGGAATAAACAAACACTTGTTACTCTTCAGCCGAAGTAAGTGCATGGCTGAAGAATGGTTGGCTGGAATAAGCCAACACTTGTTACTCTTCAGCCGAAATAAGTGCAAGGCTGAAGAGTGGTTGGCTGGAATAAACCAACTCTTACTTTTCAGCCGAAGTAAGTGCAAGGCTGAAGAGTGGTTGGCTGGAATAAACCAACACTTCTTACTCTTCAGCCGAAGTAAGTACAAGGCTGAAGAGTGGTTGGCTGGAATAAACCAACTCTTGTTACTCTTCAGCCAAAGTAAGGGTATGGCTGAAACTGGATTGGCTAGATTAAACACTTTGTACTCCTCAGCCGAAGTGATTATATCGGCTAAGGAGTGGTTGGCTAGTAAGCATAGTTTAACCAGCCAAAACCGAAATAACAGTTGGAGTAACTGAAGGCATTACAAAGTACAGACATACATATCAGAACCGGAACAAAAGTTGAAGCAAAATTTTTCATTCATTGAAACTATTACAAAGAAGGTTCATAGTTTGGTTACAACGGCAAAGAGCAACAAAGAAAAGAAGAAAAAATCAAGAAAAAAGATCTTCAATCTCGGCGTCAAATGCAGCATCAGCATCAACTTGAAGACCAGTTTCAGGAGGAAGGACGTTTTCAGTTACAAGAGTGGTTTCGGTCGGGACCACGGTTTCATTTGGTTGATCATTAGTTAAATCTTCCACCGCGGGCTCCGACCGAACTACCTGGTCCACACTAACAACCGAAGTATCCTCAGAAGAGGAGTCTTCATCGGCATCTGAGCCTTCAAGGAACTCCTGTTGCTTGGCATTAGCGTACTCCAAGAGGGAGTTCGGTATGTAGTAGGCTGGAGGGTTGAAAATCTCGGTCTGAGGATCATGACCGAGCTTCTCAACGGTCCCCCTCCAGCCGCACTTAAAGAACAGATCTTTGGCAGCCTCACATTGCTTGGCATAAGCATCTTCTGCCTTCTTGAAACCTTGTTTGCCGGCTTCCTTTACGCTCTCCTTTATTTCGGCATCCTTGTTTCTTTCAAGCTTCACCAGCTCGCGCAGGTATTTGTCCTTCAAAGCTATGGCAGTCTTCTGCCTTTCTGCCTCTGCCGAGCTAACTAGTCCGGTCAGCCTGCTGTTCTCAGCCTGCAGCTCGGCCATTTGCTTCTTAATGTCTTCTACCTCGGCCGACTTCAGGTCGGCTTCGGCCACTGCGTCCCTCGTAGTTTGTCTAAGTTCCAGCACTTTCTTGTGAGTGTTGTAGTTTTTTTGAATCGCCTGACAAAACAAGGACTTATAATGAGCCGAAGTAAAAGTTTAAAAAACTAGGCAGAAAAACGGACAGAGCTACTTACCAGGATCATGGACTTCGTTGCAGACCGAATGGACTTTAATTCGGTGTTTAGCTGCTTTTTGTGGTGCTCCATATCCTTAGGGAGGCACACACTCTTGGCCAGACTAAAGTCCAACAGGTGATCTTTTTCGGCGACAACCGAATCAGCATCTGAGACATCTCGGTTGTTGAATGTAAGTTTTGGTGCCCAACTGGTTGTAGTTCGGTCGTTGGGCTCCGGTTGTGGGCTCGGTGGCAGGACCGGTGGAACTGCGGTTTCATCTTCGTCAACCAAACTTGGTTCAGACTCGACGGTGCGTGCGCGCTTGGTTCGGCGCGATGAAGACGGCTGTTGAGAGGGGAGGGCTACAACGGCGGGCTGTGCTTGGCTGGGTGACGGTACTTCGGGCCTGCTTGTCTCGGTCAGAAGCGCCCTTAGTCTGTTCTTTTTGGCCATTTCCTCTTCAGCAGTTAAAGGAATTAATCTTATTTGTGGCAAGTTTGGGTCCGGCTCTGGAGCGTCTTCGAGAAGAAAGTCGGTTACTCTTGCTTTTCGGCGACTGCTATACCGGTAGGTCGGCTCAAAGTTTAGAAGCTTAGCCCAACTCGCAAGTTTGGGTCCGGCTCCGGAGCGTCTTCGAGAAGAAAGTCGGTTACCCTTGCTTTTTGGCAACCGCTATACCGGTAGGTCGGCTCAAAGTTTAGAAGCTTAGCCCAACTCTTTTCTTTACACCGTAGTGCAGCTCGCAAAATCGCAAGGTTGGGATAGCTATATAGGGAACGGAGGTGGGCGAAATCTGCAAAAAAGAGAACTGTTAGTTCGGTTAATAGACTAAAAAAAAACCGAAATAAAATACATGGAAGAGGACCGAAGTCAAATTACCGGGCTCTCCCTTTTTCCAATTTATAGGTCGGCCAGGAATTTGGGCTTGAAAATCCTCAAAGTTCCCAGAGACCCAGAAAAAATCATCGTCATTAAGGTCTTTGTCCGGTGTGTATTTAACTATCTTCTCTCGGCGGCGGCGAATCCTAAGGTAATAGACCCACCCGTCATCTTTTGAGCCGATGGAGTATTGATGGAAAATTTCGGCCAGGCCAAGGTTTAGTCCGGTTTGGTGGTTCAGTGCGGCTATTCCCATAATAATGCGGTACGTATTGGTGGACAGTTGGGTGGGGCATAATCTAGTCTGCCTAAGAAATTCACAGATCAACGGTTGGACAAGAAACCGTAGTCCGGTTTCTATTATGGATTGAAGGGTAAAAGGGACGTAGCCTTCTTTTTCCCAAGGAATAATATCTTTTTCGGCCAACATCAGATGGACATCATCAGGAATATGGTAGCATGTCAATGTTGTGTATATTATGGGTTTATTTTGAGGGCGTTATATATTCATTTAAAATGAACAAAAAAAATTAAAAATAAAAATTAATTTGTGAAAGCAATTTTAAAAAATAAAAAGATTTTTTAACAAAACAATTAAAAAAAATTATAACCAAATATACAATCAAAAGTAATTTTTTAATATTTGGTAAACTGGAATCGAAGCACTAGTACAAGAAAAATGAAAGATCAAGAGAAAAGACACCGTCTAGCTTGACTTGTGAATGAAGCACCGGAAAAAATAAAATAAAATAAAATAAAAAATAAAAAAAATTAGTTTTGCCTGAGTTGGTGACAAGAAAGAATTAGAGAACTAATGTGTTCCTAAAGTAAAAGTGAAGCATCAGAACCTACAGAGTAGATTTTGATTGTCATCCATAAGTGAGCATGGAAGATCATGAACATAGTGGCTAAGATTTTGGATGATTGATGAGCTCCACATCTTTAAAGATTGTCACTTATACGGTTTGAGAGAGAAGCATTGTTGTCTTTTAAGGATAATAAAATTCTTCAATCTGCCAGCTTTTCATTCTAAGCAAGACCCTAAAATTCGAAACTCAAAATTTATGCATAAGCTTATCATCAGTAAATTTCAAATTTACAAAAGCTAGAACATGAAACAACTCAAAATTACAATGATGGTAACAATAGAAGAATTATGTTTGAGTGAGTAACTGTCGTGAAGAGTATCAAAAAGTGATGCTATACATTTCAATAGACTTCAAAAAACCAGATTTATAAAGTTCAAAGCTTGTACATGCATTTTTTTTTTTCCTTTTCAAAATGAGATGGAATGCATGTTAAATGCACGATAGTAAAATAAAGATTCTCTTAAGGTCCTAACAAAAATGCAAACTTGAAATATAACTGAAACATGGTGCAAAAGTAAATATTTTCCTTCCATTCATGTACTTGTAGAACAAAAGTGCAGGGCTTCTATTGTTTACTTAAACATGGATGAATTAATGTGGGAACAAGTAGAATTTTAGAAGAATGGCAATTGATTATGCATGAATTGAGCTCAGGGTGAGTAAAAATGGGGGAACAAACTTGATACAGAAACTTGAAACTAAACAGTCATCAATTGCTACCTCTTTGACAGAATATTTGCCAAACCTAGAAAAAAATTCATCTCTTATGCTCTGTTTGTTTTGGCCAAAAATGTTTTTGGAAAAAATGTTTGTCACATTTTCTGGCGGTTAGTATGATAGAAAATGAAAGTTAAATGGAAAATGTTTTCGATGGTCAATAAAAAATAAGCCTTTTTCAGTGATAAATGCTTTACATTTTTGAAGGTGTAATTTGTTTCCCCAAGTGTAAAACATTTTTTGGTCTAAAGTCTTACCAATACTACCACCACCGCCGACCCCACCCCCACTACAACAAACACCACCGCTAATACAACCACTAGTACATTAGTTTCAAGTTGCAATCAAACATAGGAGATCATTTTCTAGAGCACATTTTATAGAAAAATAGTTTGTGTTTGGTTTACTTTTGGAATTGTGATTCTAATAAAAAAATTTCAAAACTCATAAGCAAACACACAACTTAAAACTCAATTCAAAAACTATTTTTAAAACTCATAAAAAAACACACAATTCAAAACTCTTTTTAAAAGTCATAACTAAAATCTTTTCAAAACAAATATGGCAATTTTTCCATCAGCACCTATGAATAATACAAGATAAAATAACAAATGAGAATGAAAATTATCCATTCATTATTAATATTGTGTTTGGTTGGGGAATTTGAGAAGGAATTTGAAAATGGAAAAGGAAAAGATAAGTGAAATGTGAATAAAGTATATTTGAATTTCACACACCTTTTTCCCTTTCCCTTTTTAAAACCCTCCTTAAATCTCTCAACCAAACACGGCGTTAGGAAAAATTAAGAGAAAAGTAAATATTTGAAAGGAAAAGACAAAATGAATTGAAAAACAGAGCAGTGTGTTTAATTAATCAGTAATGTATTGATAATTTCAACATTCACAACAATCTTACGATATAGTAAACTCTTAGTTGTGATAAAAAATTGAGATGGTATTGGTAATGAGAAAATAAATAAACAAAAATGATATGGCAGATTTTGTGTTTGTTTGATTTTTATATTTCAAATTATAAGAAATTTGATATAATAATTAAAAGTGTTATGATTATTGTGATGGTTAGTGATGGTGGTGGTTGGATTTTATTGTCTAAGCTAACGTTAACATAGTAAAATCTCAATTGGTTAAAATTTATAACGTTACGGTTTTGAAAATAAAAACTTGTAAAATTGAAATTATGGCAAAATAAATAAAAAAATAAAATAATTGGTCAGATGAAATAGTAACTTTGTCTCCTATATTCATTTCATATGTAGACCCCACACTTTATCAATTCAATCTCTACTACACAAACACATTCGAGGTAAATTCGGGGGTCCGTAAGGGTGGGTTCTTAGCATTTTTCATAAAAAAAGGGAAGTAGTCACACACAAACACACTCTTATCTCACACAAGGTGCATGTGCAATGAATTGATCACAATATTGGGGACGGATGGGTTGTATTGTGCCATATATGCTTCTCTGCCTTCACTTAGTCAGGAAGTTGTGGTCATGAAGGAATTAGATGCCACGCCATAGAAGAACTCTACATTGATGACCTCTATGGTTGGTATGATATCCTCTGGAGTGAAGGTGTTAGTAGTCCACATGCAATCTGGTACAACGGCAGGCACTCTGGGGGCGGCCATCCCCATAGACTAGCAGCATCCCCCGCTTGCCGAATACCAAACTCAATAGAACGGGCCCTCTAGCAAAATCCTCTCCAACTCACCAGAGTGATGTCGAGCACTGCGATGAAGCACATCACGGTATTCGATGCCACACCTGCCCACAATGCCCAAGTCACAAACAAGACAAGTATGACGTTTAGAAATCTCATAGAATAATGAATGAAAGCAACAGAGTACATGATTGAAGAGGGATCAACCCAATTGTCTGATTGAGGGTCACTATGTTGTAATACTATCTAAACTTGTAAAAGCTCGACAACCCTGGGGCCTGGCGGCAATGCTAACAAAAGTATTGTCGAGACCAAAGGACAACGTGCTAGTCCATCTCCTGAGTGTCAGGGGCATTTGCCCCTGAAATACTCAAAGCTCTATATCTACAATTCAGAGAGTTGATTAGTACAAGATGAGGCAAAAATTTCAGAATAAATGTATAAATGACATGTGCAATGTAGAAATGACATAAAATAGTAAATTGTACCTTCCATCGTTTCTAATGGCCTTCAATGGTCATCTCTCAGTTGCACATGACAACACTAGCGTCTCTATAGAGGGTGACTAGAGCAGCGCCACCCCAATCGTAGTCGTCGATGTGATCAATGTCCACCACTAAGTAATGGAGATGTATCTTGTTTAGAGGCAACTCTGCATAGTAACCGATTGTGTCTGAGTAACCATCAAACTATCAAATTTAAAAAAAAAAAAATTATTTATGTTATCAATATTTTGTTTGATATAAATTAATCTCATTAAAAAGTTAAAAGACCCTCATCAAATATAAATTCATGATCTATTGTTTTGAGAAGTTTAAATCAAAAATAGTTTTTGAGTTTATTTTTCATTTTTAGTGAACTTTTTAAATATTTTAAGTAATTTTTTTGCTTTGCAGATTCACTTAATCTACACACTGAGATACATTTCAAAAGTAAAAATATTTTAAAACTTCACTTACATAGAAAAAAAAGTTAAAAGGTGTGTTGTGTCAAGACTAGAAGAAAGTTAAATTATAATAAATCAGCCACCTAAGCAAAGCTACAAATGAAGATGTGTTGTCTCAAGAGACTTAAAAATGGCCCAGAACTGCATTTATCCACAAATTGTGTTGGGTGCGGAAGTGAATGACTACAATGCTAACATATTCAATCACATTGTAAGCTGACTCAATCCACCAAAAATAGCAGTAATGTACAATAACAGTAATCAAATTGAATTACTTTGCACCTATTCAAGTTTCACTAAACAGGGAGGATATTCGAACAGATTTTCATTCAAAGATTTTCACTTTATTCAGAACTTTCAGCAGCCAAATCTTCTTCCAAAATGCCCTTTCAAAACTCGCCCCATCTGAAGAACTGACCCATGTTTCTCTTCTTTGCAAATCCATCTCCAAATGATATGCCGATTAACAGAAAAAAGAAGGCCATTTTTAGTAAAGTGCCAAACCAGTTTGTCATTAACAAGCCATGGGGAAAAAGGGATTTTACATGTCAACTCTGCTTCAAAATCCAAAAAGCACTATGTGATGAGAGCTTCATTGCATTCCAGACATCAGTGCTTTCATCAATAAGGGAGCAAACTTTAGCATCAGCATGGAATCCATCTAACTTTCCAAATCATCGCACACCAGACATTCAAATCACTTCAAATCCTTTCTTACAGATTGCACATAGAATCTATTGCCTTTGATGAGGAGGGAACTCTCAGATGTGCATGGATATTTCAGCCTGCACTTCCATTTTTTTTTTTTTAAAGTTTTCCCATAACAAACCTCAATATTGTTGTGGAGAGTCTCAAGCATCCTCAAAAGCTACCTGCAAGATAAGAAAACAAAACCATAAGTTGATAAGAGGTTCAAAGTATTACACATGAACACAATTGTAGTAGAGATGAGAAGGCAAACGAATTTGCTTAATAACAAATAAATTGAAATTAGCAACCAAACTCAAGCTCACGTAAAGGAAAAAGGACCAAACTTCATCATTTTATTAACTATTATTGTAAAATCTTAGCTACTCTATCAAGTAAAAGATTAAATGACTGATTCTTCCATATTGCTATATTTGGAGTGGTAAAGTAACTATGGATTGCCCACATGGATTTTAACCAGACAAGATGGCTTACTAACTGTCAAATCTAGGATAGCATTCAAGGAGAAAGGCTTGAAAACACAGTGATTTTTTGCAAGGTCTGGAAATTTAAATGATCAAAAGTCTTGCCTAAGAGTGTGCTAGAGGGAGGTTTTTTCAATTATGGAAAGGACTTCTTCTCAATTATCTTGAAATATCTCTTACTCCTTTATCATTTTTTTAAGCCTTATTTTAGAATAGAGCATCCAAAGTACTTATCAAGCAAATTTCGGGCATACCTTGAAAAGAGGCGTAAAAACTCACAATGCAATTTAGATGATGAGCATGCATACATCCTAAAGTTTGTTTCCACAACAACAAAGCCATCAGAACAAAAAGGTAATAACAATAGTCAGTACATTTTTCTATTTAAATTTTCAACAAAACATTGAAAAAAATACAGAAAAGCACCGTTTCACAAGCTGCAACTGCAGGTTGTAACAGACTAAGGAAGTTGTCCTCTTTAGGGTTAAAAATATTCTCGACGCTCATGGAGGTGTATTTGTATTTGGTGGAGTAGGCGAACGTACTCATGAAGCAGATGAAAAACAATATCAGCATTCCAAGTGAAATGGAACCACTCATTAGCTCTCGTCTTGGCAATTTCAAAAAAGAACAAATAACTCGAACTAATACAAATTACTGATCAATTAAAGGTTTTGGATAAGACCATGAACATGGTGAGTAAGATTTTGGATGATTGATGAGCTCCACATCTTTAAAGATTGTCACTTATACGGTTTGAGAGAGAAGCATTGTTGTCTTTTAAGGATAATAAAATTCTTCAATCTGCCAGCTATTCATTCTAAGCAAGACCATAAAATCTGAAACTCAAAATTTATGCATAAGCTTGTCATCAGTAAATTTCAAATTTACGAAAGCTAGAACCTGAAACAACTAAAAATTACAATGATGGTAACAATAGAAGAATTATGTTTGAGTGAGTTACTATCATGAAGAGTATCAAAAAGTGATGCTATACTTTTCAATAGACTTCAAAAAACTATTTTACAAAGTTCAAAGCTTGTACATGCATTTTTTTTTCTCCAGAATGAGATGGAATCCATGTTAAATGCACAACAGTAAAATAAAAATTCTCTTAAGGTCCTAACAAAAATGCAAACTCAAAATATAATTGAAACATGGTGCAGAAGTAAAATTTTTCCTTCCATTCAGGTACTTGTAGAACAAAAGTGCAAGGATTCTATTGTTTACTTAAACATGGATGAATTATTGTGGGAACAAGTAGAATTTTAGAAGAATGGCAGTTGATTATGCATGAATTGAGCTCAGGGTGAGTAAAAACTGCGGAACAAACTTGATACATAAACTTGAAACCAAACAATCATCAATAGCCACCCCTTTGACAGAATATTTGCTAAACCTAGAAAAAATTCATCTCTTATGCTCTGTTTGTTTTGGCCGAAAATGTTTTTTGGAAAAGTGTTTGTCACATTTTTCGGTGGTTAGTATGATAGAAAATGAAAGTTAAATGGAAAATGTTTTCTATGGTCAATAAAAAACACACCTTTTTGAGTGAAAAATGCTTTACACTGTTGAAGGTGAAATTTTTTTCCTGAAGTGTAAAACATTTTTTGGTCTAAAGTCTTACCACCACCACCACACTAGCACCACCACCACAGCCGCCACCACCCCCACTACAACCAACACCACTGCTAATACAACCACTAGTACATTAGTTTCAAGTTGCAATCAAACATAGGAGATCATTTTCTAGAGAAAACATTTTATAGAAAAATAGGTTGCGTTTGGTTTACTTTTGGAATTGTGATTCTAATCAAAAAATTTCAAAACTCATAACTAAACACACAACTCAAAACTCAATTCAAAAACTATTTTTAAAATTCATAACACACAATTCAAACCTCTTTTCAAAAGTCATAACCAAACTCTTTTCCAAACGAACAGGGCACTTTTTCCATCAGCACCTATGAATAATACAAGATAAAATAACAAATGAGAATGAAAATTA